GTCGGAACTCCCAGCGAACGTCGGGACTTCCGACGGTCGGAACTCCCGACGAACGTCGGGACTTCCAACGTGCACAGACAGCGAGTAGTCAGAAGCACAGGTGCCGGGACTCCTGGCTTAGGTCAGGATTTCCAACTTACGTCGGGACTTCCGACACCGAAAGTCACAGAAAATTATTCTACGTGCTCGTGAAGTGCTAGAGTGACTCTTTTTGATTTTATTTAAATGCTTGAGCACTCTATCTTCCTCAGACCAACTAAACTTGCATCCCTCTTTATAGTGCGGCGGATCCTAAACTCAAAAACAAAATTAAAACCTTTGGAGATCATTTTGAGTTCGTCCGCCTTTACAACTTCAAGAATTGAGGGATACCATTTCATCTTTATCATCAACTCTTTGATTCTTTCACGGAACTAATAGCTTCAACATATCTCATTTAGATCACATTAGTCCCTAATTTGGATGTCATCAATACACCAAAACTCACATAGGGGGCAAATGCACTTTCAATTCCAGTTGGCTCTGTTCGTCTTTTGTTGTTGCAGGAGGCGCATGGAGGTAGATTGATGGGACATTTTGGAGCCAAGAAGATAGAGGAGGTGCTGTCCACACATTTCTTTTGGCCTAGGATGAGGCGAGATGTAGAACGGTATGTGGCTTGGTGCACCACATGTCAAAAAGCTAAGTCGCGGTTGCCCCCACATGGTTTGTATATGCCTCTTCCTGTTCCTTCTACTCCTTGGGCTGATATATCTATGGATTTTGTGTTGGGTTTGCCAAGGACTAAGAGGGAGAGGGATAGTATTTTTGTGGTGGTTGATCGTTTTTCTAAGGTGGCACATTTTATTCCTTGTCATAAGAGTGACGATGTTGTTCATATTGCTGACCTTTTCTTTCAAGAAATCGTTCGCTTGCATGGTATGCCTTCTAGTATTGTTTCAGATCACGATGCAAAATTCTTGAGTCATTTTTGGCACACTTTGTGGAATAAATTGGGGACCAAGCTGCTGTTTTCTACAACATGTCATCCCCAAACTGATGGGCAAACTGAGGTAGTGAATCAAACATTGTTCACCATGTTGAGAGCAATTTTGAAGCGCAATTTGAAGATGTGGGAAGAGTGTTTGCCGCATGTGGAGTTTGAATATAACAGGGCGGAACATTCCACCACCAAGGTAAGTCCTTTTCAGGTAGTGTATGGTTTTAACCCTCGCGCTCCTATTGATCTTTTGCCTTTACCTACCACTAAGAGAACACATAGTGATGCTAGAGAGCGTGCTGATTTCATTCGTAAGTTGCATGAAACAACTAAAGCAAATATTGAAAGAATGAATGAAAAGTATAGAATTGTTGGTAGTAAAGGTAGAAAAGAAATTAAACTTGAACCGGGTGATTTGATTTGGTTACATTTGAGAAAAGATAGATTTCTTGAGCTACGTAAGTCTAAATTAATGCCAAGAGCAGCTGGTCCTTATAAGATAATTGAGAAAATAAATGATAATGCCTACAAACTTGAGTTGCCACCCGAGTTTGGGGTTAGTCCCACCTTTAACATTGTAGATTTGAAGCCTTATTTGGGAGAAGAAGATGAGCTTGAGTCGAGGATGACTCAATTTCAAGAGGGGGAGGATGATGAGGACACCACTCCTTTGAGTGTACCCACTGATCCTCCAACCGTCATGCAAGGTCCAATGACCCGGGCTCGAATGCATCAACTCAATTTAGAGGTGAACTCGTTCTTAAGTGATCCTTTTCATACTTTTGAGAATAGACTACTACCTAATGATGTTATCTTGCTTAGGAACATTGAAGAGGGTCATGAGGGACTTAGAGGAAGAGGTGGAGGCGTTGATGACCAGCAAGGACGTTCAACAGAAACCGGAGGCCCGGTCCAACATGATTTCGAGTCTGCCTCGGACTCCAAGACCAGTCTGCCATAAACTGGTCACCCAGGACGCATCCGGACTCCGTTTTCGACAATCTACATATGGTTGGAAAAATAATTTGATAAGGAAGCTAATACAAGTGGTCTCACATCAAAATACCTTCAGAATCAACAGAAATCATCAAAACAAGTCAGTGTCCAGAATCTACCAGGGTGCTGCGACACCGTTTTTTGGTCCGTTGGACCGTGTATCGTGTTTGGGCCCATTAGGGGGCGCGTCCAAGGTAGGCGACGACCCTAAGACCTTTATAATCATACGCCGCCACCATCATTAGGTTTTGGGTTTTGCTTAGATTAATCTGTCAAGAATAGTTTCACCGTTCATCGGTTTGTGAGACCCCAACTTCGTGAGATTAATCATTCATCTTCAATTTGGTTGCTTTCTTTCTTGTTCTTGCTTGTGTTCTTCATTGCGCAGGCAGGGATTTGCCTTCTTGGCATGGTCAACCGGATCCGTGTCTCGGTTGATAACCAGAGGAGTTGTGGTGCTAAGAATTGCAGGGTTCGATCTGAAGCTGGATCGGTGTGTCATTCTCCACTACAACGATAGTTATCACTACCTGACGGAAGATCAGGATCCCCGTTTCCATTATTTGTCCCTTGTAGAACATATTACATATTGCTAACAAAAATGTAGTTTCTCTATCTTGAATCGACAAATTGATGAATTAGTGAACAAGCTAGTGGCGGATGCCGATGGAGGTGGATGGTTTTGGGACGCAACAACAGGACGAGACCCCACCAACAATATTGCATACCCCAATAGCATTCAACCCAAGATGACGCACGTCTCCCCACACGACTGTTCATTGCAGTTGTCAGATTTGGAGCACTGCTCTGCTCCTAACAGGGCACGACTGCCTTGGCTTGCTGGAACGGCCGAGGCAAGGAGAGCCATCAGTAGCGGAACAACGACAATAGCAAGAGTCTTCTTGGAACACGCCATGAAGCTCTAGGCTAGGCTTCCATAAGTAGAGGCTACTTGGTCCCTTGAAGATGCTCCTATGCTTTGTGGTTGTTCACTTATAGAGCATTGAGTGCCCCCATGCTTGTGGGTCTTTTCTTATATAGGCTTGACCCACAACCAAATTAACCTTGAGCAATCAATTTTTGTCGTTTTCCTTAAAAAAATATCATATATTGTTACCTAAGCACACCAAACTAATAACAGCTAATTATTGGTCAGTTCAGTAAAATTCCCTCCCCCCAGATCTTGGAGGTGGTTGAGGAGTTTTTACCTCAGATGAAGTTGTAGCAGGAATAAAATCAATTTTGATGCCTTTAATCTTCTTGAAAGGTTCTAGCCGATCCACTGTAAAGCACACTAGATCATACTATAGATTAGTAACAACTCCGACCTATGCCCTCTTCTGTAGCTTCTTGCAAATCTCATTAGGAATTTATCGGCCAAAGGCTTCATGATGTACATCGGATTGCTTGGATTAGTCGGACCATTTTGCATACCATCGGCCATAGTAGTAGATATGTTTGCTTCCTTCCAAATCCCCTATGCTTTGTGGTTGTTCACTTATAGAGAATTGAGTGCCCCTATGCTTGTGGGTCTTTTCTTATATAGGCTTGAGCCACAACCAAATTAACCTTGAACAATCAATTTTTGCCATTTTTCCTTAAAAAATATCATACCTTGAGATTTTTACTCGTAGCACCAATATCCTCTAATATATTTTACCCACTCAATGTTTACACCGATGGTAGCTATTTAAATAATATATTTACAATTTCTCATCTTACTTCATAAGTAAGCATATGCTGCCTAATAATGTCATATCTATTTTGATCCTTGAAAATCAAATTTTTAATGATATAGATTCACTCCATACCAATCTACCATGCATAGGCACTTATTAGCTGCTAATACACCATATCAATTTTGATTACTGCTAATATTATATTGATCATAATTAACAACACTTTAACATGATTTGAGGGTCGGGTTGGATCCAACCAGATAGTAGTTATTAGCTGCTAAAAATTATTTGTGGTGGATCCATTAGACCTAGCTATTAGGTTAGCTAACTATTAGATGGACACCAAGCCAACAAGTATCTTGTTACCTAAGCACACCAAACTAATAGTAGCTAATTATTGGCCAGTTGAGTAAAATTCCCTCCCCCCAGATCTTGGAGGTGGTTCAGGAGTTTTTACCTCAGATGAAGTTGTAGGAGGAATAAAATCAATTTTGATGCCTTTAATCTTCTCGAAAGGCTCTAGCTAATCCACTGTAAAGCACACTAGAGCATACTATAGGTTAGTAACAACTCCAGCCTATGCCCTCTTCTCTAGCATCTTGCAAAATCCCATTGGAAGTTGATCGGCCAAAGGTTTCATGATGTACATGGGATTGCTTGGATCAGTCGGACCATTTTGCATACCATCGGCCATAGTAGATGATATGTTTGCTTCCTTCCCCAGCATAGTTCACAAAAGGTGTGTTGATGCGAATTCTGGTCACACACTAGCATGGGCTTGATTGTCCGAGCTGCACATGTCCAAGATACATAATGGATATAGATCTAAACGGTGAGGCTGACTAGCTTTACGGAGAGGCCGATTCAATGCTAGTTCTTTGCCAAAAAGACCCATGAAGCCCTCAAGGGATGACCCATCAGGAAATTGAACAACGGGGCTACCATAAAATCATCAAAGCCACCTTTGAGGTCATCAGATCTCGTAGAGAGATGCGCTGGACATCAAGGGGACCAGGAGAGGTTTAGGTACAAAAAAGGTAAAAAGTTTAATAGATTATTTTTTGTCGATTGGATGGATGGATCTCTCAATCGCCCATGATACCCTCTGTAGGAAACAAATTCTACACATACTTTTCTCGTTTCCTAGTAGATCATCGGAGGAGTTTGCAACAAGTGAACCTTGAGTTGTTATCGGGATATGCTACGGAATTGTATGTTCTAGAGGTTATGATGAACTATGAGGCATTGGTCTCATCATCATTGTTAGAGAACTGATCAATAGCTACATCTATGAGTCCCAACTATCGCATTGTCTCACCAGTGCCCTCTGTAGGAGATGCATCTCCTTATATCACAATTTCAAGCACCCTAACTATCACGGAGGTGACATTTGTGCCCTGTCGAGAAGTACTAGCAGTGCCAAAAGTAGCAACAAGCCCACACTGGTTACGAGGACTGGACAATGCTAGGCTAGCAAGCCCATCCACACTACATCACATGCCAACAAGAAGGACATCAAATCCAAATGCTTGTTACAAATCATTGGGAATTGGGTAGAGAAGGCTAAAACAAGGCAGGACGAGAAATCATCAAACGTATCATCATAATGTGAAGTTTTGCATGACCACGTTTTATGTATTAAATTGATTTAAGGATAGACACCATCACTTATTTGCCATGCGCATGGATGTAATACATTGTGCCACACATTTGTCCCTTATAGAACATATTACATATTGTTAACAAAAATGCAGTTTCTCTATCTTGAATCGACAAATTGATGAATCAACGAACAAGCTAGTGGCGGATGCCGATGGAGGTGGATGGTTTTGGGACGCAACAACAGGAGGAGACCCCACCAACAACGTTGCATACCCCAACAGCATTCAACCCCAAGACGGCGCACGTCGCCGCACACGACTGTTCGTTGCAGTTGTCAGATTTGGAGCACTGCTCTGCTCCTAATAGGGCACGACTGCCTGGGCTTGCTGGAATGGCCGAGGCAAGGAGAGCCATCAGCAGTGGAACAACGACAATTGCGAGAGTCTTCTTGGAACACGCCATGATGCTCTAGGCTAGGCTTTCGAAAGTAGAGGCTACTTGGTCCCTTGATGATGCTCCTATCCTTTGTGGTTGTTTGCTTATAGAGAATTGAGTGCCCCTATGCTTGTGGGTCTTTTCTTATATAGGCTTGAGCCACAACCAAATTAACCTTGAGCAATCAATTTTTGTCATTTTTTCCTTAAAAATATCATATCTTGAGATTTTTACTCGTAGCACCAATATCCTCTAATATATTTTACCCACTCAATGTTTACACCAATGGTAGCTATTTGAATCATATATTTACAATTTCTTATCTTACTTCATAAGTAAGCATATGCTGCCTAATAATGTCATATCTATTTTGATCCTTGAAAATCAATTTTTTAATGATATAGATTCACTCCATACCAATCTACCATGCATAGGCACTTATTTGATATTAATACACCATAACAATTTTGATTACTGCTAATATTTGTTTACACCAAAATTTGGGAGAAGAGTGTGGGAACTCGCAGGCTTCCAAGATTGTGCCAATCAAGGAGTCGATTGTGTAAGGATTGACATCTGCCGGATCGGATGCGACATTGGGATTGTTTCTGTTTAAATGGCGTCAGCAGATAACGATGGTGAGATATGATTGGCATCGAGAAGATACATATCGGACTCTACAAAAGGGGAAAGATTAGAGTCCAAGTTATCTTAAAATAGGAATGTTTTCTTTGTACCAAAGATTGTACTGAGTCGTACTCGAGTAGGATTCGTTTTTAGGCTCCGGGTATAAATATCAAACCCCAGCTATTGTAAAAAACACACAATCAATCAAATACCAGTTATTTACTTTTTCAGCTCCGACCACCCCTTAGGAGTAGGAGTAGAGTAGATCTCAGTGAGTTCTTCAGCAAGTATGGCTGCATCGATCCGGTCGACCTCCACTACTTGTCTGTAAGTACCGTCATGGCTTATACCTCAGTTCATAAGGCTGCATCGATCCGGTCGACCTCCACTGCGACTCTGGTATGAGTTAGTTATTGACTCTTATCTAGTTCAAGTACGGCTGCATCGATCCAGTCGACCTCCACTGCTCGAACTAGATTAAGGTCAAGTTATCGGCTCTATCTAAGGGCGGCATTCCTTCTGATAGATTCATTAAGTTACCGATATTGCTTATTGCTTCCATTATTTATTCAATTATAGCAATATCACTTTGCCCAATTGAGATCAAGATTGATATAAAACAACCGATAAAACATAACTCATCATTTAAAGTGTAGATTAAATCAGTTTAGATTAACAAACAATGGGTTAAAAAGGATATAAGGCCGATCTAGATCAATCCCAATCGGGCAAAGTGATATTGCTATAGTTAAATAAATAATGGAAGCAATAAACAATATCGGTAACTTAATGAATCTATCTGAAGGAACGCCACCCTTAGATAGAGCCGATAACTTGACCTTAATATAGTTCTAGCAGTGGAGCTCGATCGGATCGATGCAGCCGTACTTGAACTATATAAGAGTCGATAACTAACTCATACCAGGGTCGCAGTGGAGGTCGACCGGATTGATGTAGCCGTATGAACAGAGGTATAAGCCATGACGGTACTTACAGACAAGCAGTGGTGGTTGACCAGATTGATGCAGCCGTACTTGCTGAAGAACTCGCCGAGATCTACTCTACTCCTACTCCTAAGGGGTGGCCGGAGCCAAAAAAAGTAAATAACTGGTATTTGATTGATTGTGTGTTTTTTACAATAGCTGGGGTTTGATATTTATAGCTAGGGTTTGATATTTATACCCGGAGCCTAAAAATGACTCCTACTCGAGTATGACTCAGTACAATCTTTGGTACAAAGAAAACATTCCTATTTTAAGATAACTTGGACTCTAATCTTTCCCCTTTTGTAGAGTCCGATACGTATCTTCTCGATGCCAATCATATCTCACCATCGTTATCTATTGACGTCATTTAAAGAGAAACGATCCCAGTGTCACATCCAATCCAGCAGATGTCAATCCTTACACAATCGACTCCTTGATTGGCACAATCTTGGAAGCCTATGAGTTCCTGCGCTCTTCTCCTAAATTTTGGTGTAAACACATGCCCCCTAATTTTGGGATAAAATGATTTTATCCAAAAATTCCAGTTCATTGGTTTACCACGCCGCAACTGCTCTATCCCGAGATGCACACATGACTCTTGACTTCCCGGCCCGAGCTTTATATAACATCCCAACAATATCTTTTCCAACCCACTCGACCTGTTTGCTTTCTTCTTCTTTCTCGAGCCAACTTTAACAGTCGACGCCATCATCGCCAAGGCCCCAAACCCTAGCAAACCATCAGTTCTAATAAGCCGTCATCCAAGCGATCCTCGCCAGATTCAAACCAATTTTTTGGCTGTAATGGCGACCATCGGCCACGTCCCTGAGGTATGTTTCCAAGTTTCCACTCTCCAATTATCGGCCGCTACCTTGTATTTTTTCTCCTCAGACTGATTTCATCCGATTTGATAGGAAATGAGGAATGAAATCTTGATTCCATCAGCTGTTGCCCCCAATATCTATTTTCTTGGTCCTATGGGCGATCCCGATCCATCTGATTTCATCCACCAAGAAACCAACCAAATCCCCTTCAAACAATCTGCAGTGGATTTGTCCTCTTGGAATACCAAAACTCTCTTCAGAAATTGGCCAAAGATGCCTAAGGGATGAAGAAATTGGTTCCGTAGGGTGTCTGAGAAAAAGGGTGGAGATTGGGAGCTTTATGATTTGAATCAATGCCTGACCCTCTCGTTGTCTGGGATGGAGAGGAACGATTCACTCCTGATTTCTGCATCTTATTTCTGGTCCAATGCCCTAAATGCCTTTGTATTCGGTCATGGTCCAATGACCATTACTCTGGCCGATGTTTACATGTTGACCGGCCTTAGAATTACTGGATCAATACAGCCTTACGAGTACTTGAGTGCTGGCTCCAAGAAATTAGCCAAAATTGCAGACTGTATAGGATGGGCCAGTTATATTCTGAACCACGTTGAAGATGGATCAACTGTCAGTGAAAGAGAATACGTGGCCTTTCTAAACATGTGGCTGGAAAGATTTATTTTCTGTGGGCCGTCCTGTGGTCCAACCTACAATCACAAGCTCATGGTAGAGCACCTAGCATTAGGCAAGGATATCCCTCTTGGAAAGTATTTGCTAGGAGATGCTTATCATCTGATGTACCAGGTGACTGCCCAATTGCTGAAGAATGAACCAATGCATACTGTCAGTGGCCCTTGGTGGTTAATACAACTATGGCTTAACCTGTATATGCATAAGTTTGTGAGACCTAATCTCAAAAGTCTAAGTTTTCCTTCTTCCAAATTTGATGAGGAATATAGAGGTGAAGAAGGAAGAACTCGACAGTGCATGAGCTATGGTGAGGCTGCATCGGCCATAATAATCGATTTCGATATTGGCCATCTCTTCAAGAAGTTCTACAGAGGGTTTGGTGTAGACATCCTGACTTGGCTTTCGTATGATGATGAGAATGATGAGCTGGCCTTCCCATTCAAGTTTCGATTTGAGTCAGTTTGTTCGGATGATGTGGCGGCTACAATCTTCAATTCTTTCATCAAGCCCTGTGTTCTTCCAGCCGAGTTTCATCATGGCCGTGGCAAAATGGCTATAGGCTCTTTCATTCCAGGCAACCTCCCAACGTATGAATTTTACAGCCCATCCTTGGTAGCTTGTCAGTTTGGTTTCAGCCAATTGCCTCCTCAGCTATTCTTCAAGAACATACTGAAGCCACGGGAAGATATCAGTGAAGTACTAGAAGCCGGAAGAGTCTTTCAGCTAGGATCAGATCTTCCTTCCCTCTGTTTGCACGATTGGATTAGAGTCAGTCTCTCTTCTACTCTCTTCGACTCCTAGTGGCAAGAATGGCATTCCCATCTTTTCTGTGGATCGGTCCACCCTTTGTGTATAGCCTTGGATGGAGAATTTTCTTCTAACGGAGAGGTAATTTGCCATTTCTTTTCAAGAAAATGCTTGACGAATTCCTCTGCCAACCATCCTAATCGACCTTTTTAGGATGTTGAATTTGATCCTCCAAGCTTGGATAGGAAGGGGCGTCCTGTAGATTACCAGCCACCATGCCCGGTTTCAAGAATGGGATCGGCTGTGCCTTCACTGAGAAAATTGATGAAAACTCAGGCTGCCTCTACTATCGTGACATATCAATCTTTAAAGCGCAAGGCAGATCAAAGAGACAACCCAGAAAACCACCACTGGGAAGAGACTCCGTAGAATGAGGCCATCAGCTACTCAGGTAAACAATTCATCTTCTTCTCAAAATGATACCCCATTGCTGATTTTGTCCCTTCACAGTCATCGAGCATTGTATCCCAACCTGCCTCGGGCATGGAATTACCATCCCAGGCGTTTGACTCAGCATCAACTGAACCCCCGTCGGCTGATCCAAGAAAGGAGCCAATTTCGGTTGAAATAACTGATACTTCCACAGCAGAAAATGTGAGTTTTATCATTGATGCTCATTGGGGTATCTTCTTTAACTTCTTTCATTCAGTCTTTTACCCTTCATCTGACTTCTTGCTGCACTAGATACTCCCTGAGGAAACACCTGTGCAAGATCGGGAGCTTGACAGTCTGCTCAATGATCTTGTCGATGTTGAAGGTGGTTTTGTTGCCGTCAACACTCAGACTGTTGACTCCCCAGTCCAGCAAACGACTGATGGTGAGGGAGTTATTAGCTCAATTTCTCTCTGCAGCAAACATGAACTACAAATCTTCCGATGTTTGCAGATGCTGATGTTGAGATTTCCAAGCTTATTCAACCAGGCATTACTGGTGTATCATCAGCTATTCCTTCCCTTCAGATAGAAGTTACCACATAAAAGGTATTGTATCTCATTTTACTTATTCATTCTATTATAAACTTGATCCGATCTTTTTAATCAAGATTTCCCTTATACATAGGCACTCGATCCTCCAGCCCGGAGCTACTCTTTCA